ATACGTACAAATATACTGTGTAAATATTGCCTCGAATAAAAAATTGAATCGTCGAGTGATTTAATCTTTGGCTCATCTGCCGTATATATATATATAATATCTTTTGTGTATATCTATATACACGTGCATAATTAATGCATGTGTTTACTAGAATGATTAATTGTGCTTAAAGATCATACGTATCCTAACATATAGGTAAAACAATCTGTCTAGATACGTCCAAAACTGAGAAAGAATACTTATTTTTATTTGAGAATTTCGTACCGTTAGATGTATAATTTTTTTTTTTTGATAACCAGGATGGTTGCCTGAGCCTTCGGTCCGACTACATCTCCCCTAGCCCCGGGACCAGCCTTTGTATATGGACCATTCTGATCCAGAAATTACATCCCTCCCCACCAGTAGAATCGAATCCATGACCTCGAAGATGACTTTGTCACCTCTCAACCACTGTACCGCCAATCCCCGGCGACGGCAGCGTCGGCTATGGTGTACAGGAGAGCCTCCGCTCTGGTGAGAATCGCAGCGAGGTCAACCGAAGAGTCAAGGCCATGGACCGGAGGAATCTCGTGTAAGCTGAATCGAACGGTAGTGTAGGTACTGATAAGCCTATTGCTCCGGTGAGGCAGACAGTGCACGAATCCTCCGGCACCGCTACTTCCGCCTCCGTGGCGGAAAGACGAAGGCTGAACCAACGGCGATCCGAGGAATGACGGCGGAGACGAGACTAGTGCTCTCGCCATGAAAACCGACGTCGCCGAAGGAGGATGAGATAAGAGAGAGGGGGATTTTCTTTTAATTTTCTTTTTTATTTAATTTTGCATTATCTTCAAATTTTATGGTTCATGCGAGGGGACGAATAAGAAAGTGGCACGTGGCATAGCCACGAAGGTAACAAACCACAATGTTTCGGTTAAGGGTATTAAAACGACGTCCCACTGTCTGAAGCTCAGAGAACAAATGGGCTGGCAAATGCTGGCCCAAATGATATTTTATTTTGTCATTAGGCCCATTCATACATGGGCTACTTTTTGTCTCTCTCCTCATCGGGTGGGATTTTAGGGTTATATTTTCTCCAATTTGCATTAAATTTTGGGAAAAGATTAGAAAAAATAAAATAAAATAAAAATAATTATTTCCTACGGAATGCATGCATAAGACCCATATATTCTCGTCCTCTAATCTTTAGTTAGTCAAAATTCTCCGGCTGATTAATTTATTTACAAACACACACACATATATAATATTATATGGGATATATATAATATTATAAAACTTTTTATGAATCAAAATAATTATATGTATTTGTACAGGGTTTGGTTCTTTTGCAACTTGAGTGCTTTGTGTATTGTCTCCAAAGATTAAGGGGCAAGGCTTTATGCACAAAAACATAAGGCTCCATAGGAAAAAGCTGCCTGGACGGTGCAATTAATTGTCAAGGAATCTGATTCCCACTCTCTTTTTTCTTTCTTGTCATTTTCATTTTCTTCACACGTTCTCCTTTTTCTAACCGGAAAATTAAATAAAAATAAATTATACTCAATTTATTAATGAACCTCATAATCACAACCCTAAAATCTTGTATTTATTGTCGAAATGATCTAGGTTTAATAGTTTATTATACTACTATATTGTTGTTAAATATGGATTTGATATAAAATTAATTCATTGATGTTATGTATGTATTGGTCTTACAGATTATTAGGGCCAATTAATATATATGCTCATATATATTATACGCATTTTGAAAACGACAATTAATCTAATCATTATATCATGACCGATATCAAAGAGAATTGGATCGACCCTTCTCGAATATTTTCTATCTTTAATTCGTACTGTTTGATAAAATATTCCCTTCCAGATAGTTAGAATCGAAGGTAGTAAAAATTCAAAGAGTTTGATTTAAACTGATTCTTTTGATGGTGTGTATATATACATATATATATAGAGAGAGAATATATGTGCTAATTGTACACATGCGATCGTACGTTACATACATATAAAATACATAAAAAGGAAAATGTCTTCTTAATCATATATTATGAATCATATTATATTCAAATCCAATTTCAAGAATATTCAAATATTCACTTCTCCTTTGAAGTCTCTCCGCGTCGGAACCGTCGAAAACCGGAGAAGGGCAGCCAGATAATCTGGACCGTCGAAAACCGGAGAAAAACAAGAGCCGTAGGATAAGATTCGTCAAGTGGGTCCCAGAAGAATGACGTGGCGGACAGAAATCCGACCGAAGGCGTGAGGTGGGGGCTTGGGATTGATGTGGACATTGCGCTTTGTTATTGTCCCTACGGTTGCCCGAGGGCCTTTCTCTTCTCTCTGTCGTCCTTTGTGTTTTTTTTTTGGCTCGGAATCCGCGTATATTTCCACCCAATCCTATATGTATACACACCAGTATGTGTATATGTGTGTGCATGACAAATTCTTAAATCAACATATATAATTGTGCTATGGTATTCATTTACCATTGTGGTATATAGTTTTGAAGGACATACGTACAAATATACTGTGTAAATATTGCCTCGAATAAAAAATTGAATCGTCGAGTGATTTAATCTTTGGCTCATCTGCCGTATATATATATATAATATCTTTTGTGTATATCTATATACACGTGCATAATTAATGCATGTGTTTACTAGAATGATTAATTGTGCTTAAAGATCATACGTATCCTAACATATAGGTAAAACAATCTGTCTAGATACGTCCAAAACTGAGAAAGAATACTTATTTTTATTTGAGAATTTCGTACCGTTAGATGTATAATTTTTTTTTTTTGATAACCAGGATGGTTGCCTGAGCCTTCGGTCCGACTACATCTACCCTAGACCCGGGACCAGCCTTTGTATATGGACCATTCTGATCCAGAAATTACATCCCTCCCCACCAGTAGAATCGAATCCATGACCTCGAAGATGACTTTGTCACCTCTCAACCACTGTACCGCCAACTGTTGGGTGGTTAGATGTATAATATAAAAAGCAAAACGATGTATATTCATATATAGCCAGTGTCTATAATCTTTTGAAAACGATATGCGATACAATCCGTAATCGAGACCACCACTTTTGCCTAGTAAACAATATCTACACGGAAAAGAAAATTTTCCTCTACCAAACAAAATAATTTGTTCTCACTTGAATTTTTTTTTTCAATTCATTGACAAATTAAAACACAAAATTCAAAAAAAAAATCCACGGACTAAAATCATTTGGTTGTCTCCAAATCAACAGTTCCAATCTCATATACAACGCCGCAATCCTCTTCAAATTACATGTACACAAATCAACTTATGATCATCGTAGGATAATCGATCGATAATTCGATTTATCGTTTTGTAAAGGGAAATATGCAACAACCAAAGTGATTTCTGTAACATAATCCATATTAGCTTTGTATTTGGAAATTCCGTGCATGAAAGAACTTCTCTTTGGGGAAAGTTGCAAAGATTATTTGGGATTTTGAAGTGGAGATTTATCAGACTTAAAGGGCCAAAAAAAGATATAGAAAAAAGCATCGAAGAAGAACGATAAGAACGTACGTGATGATTGGGTTACATGAAAAGGTTTGATGACTTCATGCATCAACCAACGTTTATAAGATTTTTATTCGACTTTTTAATAAATAAAACTAGGGTTTTTTTTTTCACGTTCGTGGCGATTTTGACCCACTCGAAGCAAATTCGTAATAATGCTGCAGCACGCACACGCAGGCCGTTTTCGCTGTCTCTTTCTCTGAGGAGAAAAGAAAAGGTTTCCGCATTTATTAGACGAAAAGAGTGACGAAGAGATAAGCGAAATGGGAACCTTTTAACAATGATCATACGTTTTTGTTATTAAAAAAAGTTGGCACCAATAATAGTTACAAGTTGTTGAAATTACAAATTTAAATTTCCAAATCGTTTATCATCTTGTCATTATGCATACAATGATCGCCAAAACGATTGTAAAATATGATGAATCATTCGCACAAGTAAATATATATATATGATCCTTATTTAATATATTTTTTGTGTAATTTCAAAGTAAAACAAATAACATTCATCAACATTTCTTGTGGTAGAGGCAGAACTGTGAAAATAAGAATGGAGTTCAAAGAACATATTGTAGTATGGCGAGTGTGTATGGTTTTATATATATATATATATCCTAAATAAATGGAAAACACAATGAAAAATAATTTCGCGTTTTAGGCATGGTACTAATAAGCAGGGTAGAAATATATATATGTTACAATAGCATAGCCATTTAGTCGGTATAATATTTTCAGCTTTTAATCTGTATAAAAATGTATGTTTTGCGTTAGGGGAAAAAGCGGTAAATTTGGTTAGATTTTTCAAATGAATGAATATGCTTAACACGACCAGCATGGGAAACGAAACATTATGTTTTCGGTTTCTTAGATAAATAAAGGATAAGGAATTACGAAAAAAAAGGAGTATAATATTTATTCATGCAACTTTAATTATTTCATGTATTTTTTATTAATCTTTAGATGAGATCCCACCAAAAGTTCCACACAGAATGATTATATTTTGCTTTACGGAGCTGTGAATCTCGGTCCTAAAGTTATTTTTCAAAACAAATTATCGAATATATATATATATACACACCCATAAAATAATATTTATTTTCACGGAATATAGCTTCGTTAACAATGATACATACATTTAACTATATGTGTGTGTGCGTACTTCAGTATTTTACGTCCACTATGTTAAATCCGAATACTTTTTTTCTCAAAACAATACGCATCAATATATATATATAAATATAAATATATGGTCTCTAGTTGCATGTGTATGCTTAGATGTATATATGCTACTGTTATTATTGTGTTATAATATTATTCCACTGCTTCACCAAATATATCTTACAGGCGAAGAAACTTCCTCCACTCAAGCCCTAAAAGAGGGAATAATGTACACAATGGACGGGGAGAATGATATAAAGAGAAAGCATAAAAAAAATTAATATGGCTGCTTTAATTAAAATAAAATAAAATTCCTCCTTTATCTTCTTCTTCCTCTCTATCATCGTCGTCTTCTCTCTATGGCTCTCTTCCCTCTTCCCCTTTTGGTTTCGTGCCCTCTTGATCCGCATCCTCTCTTTAGCTTTGCCTTCTCCCTTTCGTTTTTATTTGATTCTCCACCGTTTTTCTTTTGAGTTTTTCCCCCTAAAGATCCATCAAACTTTATTAAAGAAGGAAGAACAAAGAGGACAAAAGGAGGAAGAACAATGGTTTTCTCTCCGGTCTCGAGCTTTATAGATCCACCCAATTGGCCGCAGGTTCACTTCTTCGTCTTAAACTACTCACGAATTTTTATCTTTTTGTTTCCGTTGCTTTTTTTTTTTCTCTCTCAAATTCCATGTTGATTTTTTGATTCGTATATTAATAATTTCGATCCATGGGTAAAAAAGATATTCGTATTCTCATCTTTAATCCTTTCTCCTTCCCTTTCTGACCCTCGCCCAAGTATATAGTCATTTCTTGCTCTATGATCGCATATCCATATAGAAATATTTGGTGTACTTGAAAACCCCAAATACGTATAATCGCATCTTATTTTGTGTATAAGTTTTTTTTTTCTATTTCATAAATTTTGTAGTATTTAAACATCTGAAAACGAAGAAAAGTTTGATTAAATCTTTTTCCTTTTTGATTTTTTTCTAGTTGCAGACGAATTCGAATTATCAATATCATCAGCAGCAAGAACGCGGAAGTGTGATTAATGCCCATGAAGGGCTCTCTCACCAGCTTCCCCCTCTCCCTCAAAACCCTAACCATACCCACCACCATGCCCCCCCCGCCTCTGCCGTCGGAGGCGGTGGTACTACGGCCGGGCTCGGTGGCGGCCCGATGGCGGAGCGAGCCAGGCTTGCAAAGGTCCCTCAACCGGAGGGTCCCTTGAAATGCCCTCGATGCGACTCAGCTAACACTAAGTTCTGTTACTACAACAACTACAGCCTCTCTCAGCCCCGCCATTTCTGCAAGGCCTGTCGACGTTACTGGACACGTGGAGGCGCCCTGAGGAACGTTCCCGTCGGCGGAGGTTGCCGGAGGAACAAGAAGGGCAAAGCTGGGAACACAAGTAAGACGTCATCTTCGAACAATAATAATCAGAACAAGCTGACAGGCGTAGATCCGAGCCCCACGACGGCGCCGACAAATAGTCAGTTTCCGTTTTTGCCCACTTTACAGAATCTTAGTCAGCTTGGGAACATCGGTTTGAACTTAGCCGCCATTAGCGGCAACAACCAAGGTCACATCGGTTTAAGGGACAACGGTAACGGTAACAGCAACAGTTTAATGAATGAACTAGGGTTTCTTCATGTCGGAACCGGAGCCAACACTTCCGGTTTGATGATCAGCAACAACGAGAATAACATTCTGACGTCTAACCAGTTCGCTTTGTTTGATCCAACGACAATAGGGTTATACGCTTTTCAGAGCGAGGGCAATATGGGAAACAACATAGTCGGACTATCTTCTTCTTCAGCTTCCATGGCTGCTGCTAGGGTTTCTCAGATGGCTTCGGTTAAGATGGAGGAGACCCACCTGGCTAATTTGTTGAGAACAGTTCCCGGTTTAACGGCTAATAATCAATCCAATCAATATTGGACCGGTTCGGGTAATTTCCCGGGATCTTCTTCCAATGATCACCTCTTGTGAATCTTGTTTTCTCGGATGATAACCTTTCGAAATATGGTCGATGGCGATGACAATGGTGAGAATGAACGGTCAGGATCTAATGCATGCAGAGCGAGATCGAGGAGAAGTACTAAGAGGTAGATTTGTAATTCGTCTTCTGATTGGTTATTTATTTTAGTAGTTTTAGTACTTGTAAGTCGAAACATATGATCAATAGTGTGGTCTCGTCGTTTGCTTGAACTTGTTCATGTGTTGTGTCGTGTCTGTCTCTGTCCAATTCGTCCTTCATCCATTTGACCGAGTCTTCTTAAACCTGTTTTAACTTTTATAGTTAATTTATATTTTCAGTTGAAATATGTGAATTCTGTCTATAATGAAGCCTTTTTTATATCACGTTAGTTTTCTTTTTAAATCATATATATATATATATATATGGTACTTAAATTAATTATAAGAATTTACGAGATGGAAATCCTTGAAATACCTATATATATATATACACATCTATCTACACGATCTGTCTTTAGGATAGTTTTATAAAGTAAAAGGGGGTTTACTGTCTAAGGAATCTGATTATATATATTATAATTCAGTGCCTTTTACATTGATTTAGCAAAGGTTTAAAATTCCGATGAAAGCTTTTTTTTTTTTCTCATATTTTTAGGAGCCTCCTTCTTTTCCTTTTGCAGTCTTCTCAGCACATACAGACAGAGATGCATGCACGGCTGCATTTTAATTTGTATGCATGTACTGTGTGCGTGTGTATATATACTGTGTACAATATATATATAATATATATATAATATATATATAATATATATATATATATATATGTGTGTGCCACGTACCAAAAAGAAAAATGTATGGGAATGAATCAAATTGCCAGACAATTAATCAGACTGTTTAACACAGAGGAGATAATTTTTAATAGAACTTCTAATTAATACCAGACAAAAAAACAGAAACTAAATAAAAATGATTGTAAAATAGAAACTCTAGTACTATATGGTTTTTTTCTTTTTTCTTTTTTTTTGGTTGAAATAAATTTAACCACTGTGCTACAGCGGAATATTTATTTTTTCTTATTTCTGGATGTCTATGTGTGGTTATATGTATGCATGCATGCATGCATGTATGTTTGTATATATGTATGTATGTATGTATGTATGTATGTATGTATGTGTTACTACAAAGAATATATATGTATGTATGTATGTATGTATGTATGTATGTATGTATGTATGTATGTATGTATGTATGTATGTATATATGTGTGTATGTATGTATGTATGTATGTATGTATGTGTTATTACAAAGAATATATATATATATATATATATATATATATATATAATGATTTTGCAATTATGTGAATGATGCTGTGTGTGATGAGATAGAGGAGTGGATCTACAGGTAGGAGAGAATGTCGCTCACAGAAAACAATGCCGTCAGATCAATTTTCCGTTCTCTAAATCTAAAGTGTTGTTCGAATTTTTATGACAGTCCCACATTTTTCACTGTGGGGTCAAAATCATTTCAATTACTTTTGTTAGCTTCTTTATAATAATAAAAAAACCCTGTTTTTTTTGGTAATATTGTTGTAACTGTGAAACTGCTGTTAATTATTCAGTAGTATAATAAGCTATTATAAATGTTGTTTTTTTGGTAGATAAAATTTTGGTTTGGATTTTAAAAACTGAATTAAATAGAAAAAAAAACCACATACGATTATATTTAAATCAGTCTGTCTAAAAATTTATTAGATATAATTTTTAAAATGAACTAATCGATCGAAGCAAGTATAAAAATAATCGAAATTCAATAATCTTTTAGAATATGGATATTTTTTTAATAAAAAATAAGCTAAAATGAAGTCAAATATTCGATATAAAACCGAATTTTTTAGATTGAAAACTGAACGTGGGATCCTTAATGGGTTTGAGAGTTGTTTAGTGGCTGGAAATTATTACAGATCAAAATTGTTAGATAAACCCCACGGATAATAAAAGAAAAGAAAGTATACGTACACACGTGTTAAGCATTAATTAAATGTTAAGAAAAAAGGAACAAAATCTCTGAGGGAACCAAATCTTCCGGACGCATAATTACATCTTCGTCATGCATGCACCACTAATTAGTTTTATTACAATAAAAAAGAGAGAACCTCGAGGAACCTTTAACCTTTACCCTCTCTCTCTCTCTTTTCTCCTCAGGCTACTGCTTCGGTGCCACGTGTCGTTCTTATCTTCCTTCTCCTTCGTCATCGACCTCCACCTTCACCTCCTCTTTCTTCATTCCGAGAAGATCGGCATTGGTCACGTACGCCCTTCCGGGGGTCTCCGTCTACCCGCACATTCGCAATAGCTGATACCTTTGGGACAACCTCGGAGCTGATGAAGCTCTCGAACGGGTCGAAGATGTCGAGGGATGAAGGGTCGAAGGCTGCGGTCTTTCTGCCGCCGAAAATGCTCGGAATAAGCCGCATTGTAACTGAAAAAACGCTGGTTTCCTTGATCGCAGGCGATTGCTGTTGCGTTTTGAATTGGTTTTTGTGGTTATGTAGGAGAGAAGAGGCAAGAAGATCTGAGGTGGGTTTTGGACCGTTTTGAGTTCTTTCTCGTATCTTCGCGTCCTGTCTTGTTTTTTTCCCCTCGTCATCGTCGTATGATTATGATGAAACTTATTGCTCAAATTGCAGTTGGGTCTGAAAGTAAATTATAACGAATGATTTACATTCGGCACTCGGCAGTATTTGTCGTAGGCTGTCATGCATTTTGGGCTTTTGGGCCTTTTGATGTTGTCTCTTACTTCCATTAGGTATTTTTTGAACTTCTAAGTCTTGGAATGAATGTCCAGTACCAATAGCGGTATCGTGCATTCGGTTTAATATATATACACACGTGGAGTACCAACAAGTGGGACCCAGTGGGTTAGGTTAACGGATTTGATAAGACACGTGGACTGACCAGAAGGCCCAATTCCGATGATAGTTGAGGCGCCCAACTGCTCATCCATGGCCCATTTACTCTGTCCTTTCCCTGTGTACGTTTTTTCCCTCAATTATTCCTTTTATTTTTTTCCACACTAATATATATATATATATATATATATGAACCTTTTATCTGAATTTAATAAATCGAACGAATGATCGTAATGTGATATATAAAAAACATTCCGAGATCAATTGTCACAAGTGAAATGCAGCAATCTAACATGTTCGACTTCGACGTAAATGAAAATAAAATATATAAAATCCTATGCTAAACATGTCACACAGTTAGCTCTCGTCTTTGAAATTGTTTTCATTTAACAGATCATATGATATTTATAATAAAAATTCCATTCAAGAGTTTCTTCTACGACCGATCTAAAAAGCCGGTTCATCTGCGTGATGGTTCGTCTTTCGCCTCGTCCTTGGTCGGGTTTCGTTTTTCCTCTTTACACTCTAACGAATATATTTGCATGTCTATAATATTGTATATTCCCTATATATGTATATATATAAAATATTCCTTGCAATTTTGTTGGCGGAATAATCTTTATGACCCAAAACTCAGATGGGAGACAAGTGTCAAAGTGAAGAATTCGAGATAGACAGGTCCCTATATATATATATATATATTCTAATCATTACAAGAAATGTCCAAAACCGAATTCTATTAAATCCCCCTCGCCTCCTTGGAATCTTCGCCTCCTTCCGGCGGCTTGGTCCATGTGTCCGTACGGATCGCAGAGGGAAGTGGAAAGAGGAGTTGCCGCGTTGGCGCCGGATCTTGCACGGAACGTGGCTGTTTCTTCCTCGGACTGAACCATAGTGGAGGAAAACCTGGTCGGACGTAGCAGAAGTAGTGATCCGGCCGAACCTTCGTCGAGAGGGTCCGGCGCCATGACCGACTTCTCCTTTTTCCGGCGAGGCTCTCCGCCGTTGAAACATACCCTTAGCTTCCGGACGCCGTTACCCATTAAGAAATCCGATCGCTTTCACTCACAAAGCTCAATCCTTTTCACAGATACGTAAAACCCAGATGGAGAAACCAGCGCTTAGGGGAAATTCAAGCCGACGTTACACCAGAGGCTGTTCATCCATGGCAGAGATATACAGACGGAGAACGGGAGAGAAAGGCGTTGACTTTTGTGGGCAAAACAGGAAAAAGGGTAGAAGTTATTAGCGAAAGGTGCGTTGAATAATTAAGGACTCCTCGGATGTTTTTAAAATTTGTGTCCGTTCTGTTAACCCAAAGTCTCACTCTCTCACACGCGCGTGTAAACTGTCGACTCTTCTTTTTTTTTTTTTTTGTATCTTGTGGAAGTTATGATCTGCTTCTTACTAAAAATAGCAATAAACTATAGCGTTTAATCAATCGACCCATTACACTTTTCTATCGATTTCCAGAAATTGTTCTAACAGAAATAATAAGAAGAGTCTTTTAATTAGTCGACACACTAAATTCGTATTTGTAGATTGTATAGATTAATAATTTGTTTGTTACAATGTATATTTTTTTATTTATCTTGTTAGTTTTGTTATTTATAGGTATATTACGCAAATAAGTATGCTATTATTTTATATTCAAATATATGTTTAAAATCTTTTAAATATCCCCACCAGACCTATTGAAATTTGTTCTATAAACATAGTAGTATAATTATTGTAATAGCTCTTGAAAATCAACAATAATCTATTTGGAACTGGTTATTTAGTCTGCAATTTTAGCACGCGCCTAATTGCGCGTGAACCTAACAGTTTCAGAGCCTTTGAGATTTATCAATTATCATGCTTTGGAAATTGTGCCCCGTTGCATCTCGCAAGCGCTGAGAGACTGCCACGTGTCAATTGTGGTTTCTGCAAATTCTCACACGTCACTCTTTCGCT